CAAAGGCAGATGCTTAACTGACTTAGCCACCAGGCACCCTGTGATGTAATGTTCTTATTAAAAAGGTATTCATTAGAACAAAAATATAAATCTCCGATTATCAGAAAAAAATGAAAAATAGATGCATGGGAGGGAAAAAGGCTACATTTGAAAGGTTTTTAAACAAGTATAAAAACAAAAAGCAAAACATAAAATAATATGACAGCTGACACCAAATATATTTATCATAATAATAAATATAAATAAATTACCTCAACCATTAAGAGAAAGTGAAACCTAACTCTATACAAAAGACATACCTGCAACAAAGTGATTCAGAGGGGAAAATAGAAACATGGGCAAAATTTTACCAAATAAATACAAGTAAACAAAAAGGGAAGGTCACAGTTTTGGGACCAGGGAGGTGACAAACTTTTAATACTAGATAAGATTGAATTCAGGCTCCAAATCACTAAATGAGACCAAAAAGTTTATAAGGAAGAGGGTAAATTGAAAATTAAAATATATTAGTTATGAATCTGTATTGCATACCAAATAACTTGGATACACTATTTAAAAGGACAAAAACTATTGAAAAAGAGTTCCACTTTTCTTTAGGATATAGAAAGTCACAAGAAGAAAGTTCCTCCCATCCTAAAAATAAGATACAACAACACCTTTCTTGAACTTTTTCTTGAACCTAAAAACAACAATACTTTTCTTGAATCTATCAGAGAGCTGAGTTACAAGGCAACCTACTGAACTGAATTTTAAAGTCACAAGTTCCTCTAAGAGAGATGGAACATACAAACTGCCTCACCTTTGGCGGAGAACAAGAGGAAGATGTGGCTTCCATAGAAGCAGGTAATAGAACATCTTGCTAATTGTGCTCTATTTGTGTCATCTGTTCTTTGTTGTTGTTTTTCTTCTTTACCTACCTTCTTTTGGATTAATTGGATATTTTATTAATGTTCATCTACCTTCACTATTGGCTTCTTAGTTTTACTTTTTTTACTTTTAGTTGTTCCTCTAGGTTTTGCAATATAAATCTTTAACATCACATTTTACCTATAGAACTTTGTATCACTTATGTATGTTGTAAGAAATTTATAATGGTATACTTAGATTTCTTCCCTTTCATACTATATATAATTGTTGAATTATATTTTAATTCTACATATCTCATAATCCTTACAACACCTTATTACTATTTTGCTTGAGACATTCAAATATCTTTTCATAAATTTTTCTAAAATTACCTGAGAAGAAAGAAAATCTAAATGACCAATTACCGTGAAATAAATACAATTGTCAAGTAGCTATTTCTCCATAGTACCAGACTGTGAGGGTTTCAGAAATTAATTCTAAAAGAAAAAGATAAACCTAAATTACTTAAATTATTCTAGAGTATTTAGTAAAAAAGACAATTTTCTAAATCCTTTTTATAAGGTGGCCATGTCATTGATAACAATGTATAAAATAGATTTCACACACACAAAGGAAAACTAGTGGTCAACTAAACTGAAAAAATCCTAAACAAAATATTAGTAAACAGAATCCATTAGCACATTTCAAGAATTATACAAGAATATAGCTGGAGTGGGGTTGGATTATTTTAATACTACAAGGATGATTTAAGATTAGGAAACCTAAAATTTAATATAAAATTGAAAACAAAAACAAGAGAGAAAACTCACAGGGTCACTTAATTAGGTAACACATTCACTGGCTATAAGAAATACTTCAAATAACAGTGGCTTATACAAAATGAAAATTTACTTCTCTTTCCTGGAATAGATTGAGCATAAGCAGTTTAGAAATGATATAGTGGCACCCTAGTATTGGAGAGCTTATGGTCTCAACTAAAATTAGAGAATTAATAAATGAAGAAAGGGGGAATAGATACTGGGCAATGTCAAACAGTATCTACCATAGTCATCCCCATTAATGATGATAATAATACTTTTTTTTAAAGCAGCAATCCTTGATTTCAAAAAAATAAGGTAAAAATAATAAGATAAAAATAATAAAAACTATTAGCAAGAAATGTGTCTCATTCTAAAAGCCTGAAATGTAGATATAAAAAATACTAGAAGCATCCGTATTAAAATCAGGAGTAAGGTAGGATACCCACAATGACCACAATTATTCAACAACTTTCTTACAGATATTAGTTATTACAAATAAAAGTACATGAATGAGAGAAATAAAATTTGTTTTTTATTTTTTAAAGATTTTATTTATTTAACAGAGGGAGAGAGCAAGCACAAGCAGGGGGAATGGCAGGCAGGGGGGAAGCAGGCTCCCCGCTCAGCAAGGAGCCCAATGTGGGGCTTGATTCCAGGACCCTGGGATCATGACCTGAGCTGAAGGCAGCTGCTTAACTGACTGAGCCACCCAGGGGCCCCAAGAAATAAAATTTGTAAAGGATGAAAAGAACTTATCAGTTGTTTTATTTATCTATTGATGCATAGAACTCACACCTAAAAATTATGGGCTTAAAATAATAACATTTACTATCTCTCATGATTATGTGGGTTAATTAGGCAGTTCTTTACTCTCTACAGTAATTCAAACTTTATATTTTAAATCACCAAATTAGTAAACAATCTAAAATTCTAATATTAGATAATGTTCAACTATTTGGAGAAACATTTTCTTTCTCTTTTTTTTTTAAGATTTTATTTATTTATCTGAGAGAGAGAGAATGAGAGACAGAGAGCATGAGAGGGAGGAGGGTCAGAGGGAGAAGCAGACTCCCCACTGAGCAGAGAGCCTGATGCGGGACTTGATCCTGGGACTCCAGGATAATGACCTGAGCTGAAGGCAGTCACTCAACCAACTGAGCCACCCGGGTGCCCCTGGAGAAACATTTTCAATACTGGGTAAATCTTATCTGTAGGTCTTTGAAAGTTTTGGCTCACATGTTCCCTCTGTCATGGTTCTCTAAGGAAGAAAAGTAGGACAAAAAAAAAAAAAAGGTAAGACAATATTTAGTTTGTCCTCTTTTGCTGAATGTTGGATATGTTTCAAATCCAAGATTTCTGTGGTTAAGTTTTTAGACTGACTTTTTCAACTTGGTTCACAAAGTAGTATTATGACTCATGCATATAGAGTTCCAGATACAGTGAAGAAGCAGAAGCCTGATCAAGAGCCCAGCATCAGAGAAATGAAAATGATATAGATGAATAACCAAGATTGACATGGCAGGAGAAATGTAGAGGTTCTATATGTAAACCTTCATTGGGAAGTTTCTGGGCACATTAAAATATTTTCTGGCTGTCACATGACACCATTTGAATGGACTGTTTGTTGTTATTTTAAGCTTAATTCATCAATTTTAGAAACTTTTCCAGACACATAGAATGGCTTCTATGTTTTATCCCATAACTTGCTTAAAGTATTTGATCCTCTTTGATGTGGACTATATCCAACTTGGAAACTAAACTATGAGTTATGTGAGATTTCAATAATACTTTCCTAAGGTAATCCACACCTTTCATCAGCAGTCTTCTGTCCTCTCTCTATAAAGACTACATCCAACATTTTAAAAAGAGGCAACTGTGTTTGTGACATTATATAGTTGCCTGGTATTATTTCTTATTGTCTCAGAAAGCAAAGGACAGTAAGTCTAGAATAATGATAAACAACATTTTTTGAGGGGGGGGAAGGGCCAACTCAAGAAAATAAAAACATGTTACTTTTTTTGTCTGTAAAAAAAAGTAACTTTTGGAAGCTTCCCCTCTTGTATGTCACATGATTCTGGTATGATTGTCAATTAAGAGGCCACTTCCCTGCCCCAAGAGTTGCATGTATCCAAGCACGGATAATCAGAGCTCTTGTTCAGTAATTGAGATGGAAACTGGGAGACGGGGGTTACCTATCTCCTTGTATAGGTTGAGAAAAAGCATGTAAAAGGAATAAGATTCATTTTTCTCACTATGTGGAGAGCTTGGCTAAAGATAAAGTCAACAGAGGAACAGAAAGAGGGACACAGAGGTAAATGTAGAGTGACAGGCTGGCCACAAGACAACTTTTACCTCAAGAATGGATTATAACAAAATAATTTAAATAATGGGGTACACTGTTTAATTTCATTAAACTATTTTCAACTATTTTGGAAACAAACTTATTTGCAGGATCCAGCTTTAAACCTAAAATATTAAATACCACACATCAATAGTCTTTATACCTCTTTTTATATACCACACTTACTAAAATTACATTTATGCACCTCCTATTAGCATTACCATTCTTTTTCTTTTTTCTTTTTTTAATGGGGGGGGAGGGAAGAAGGAGAGGGAGAGAGAGAATCTTAAGCAGGCTCCACGCCCAGCATGGAGCCCATCACAGGGCACGATCTCACAACCCTGAGATCATGACCTGAGCTGAAATCAAGAGTTGGATGCTTAACTGACTGAGCCATCTTGGTGCCCCTAGAATTACCATTCTTATGAAATGGTGTTTGTGCAGTTATTTGAATATTTTAATATATTTTGCCATATTTTACAAAATTGAGTGGAAAACTGAATAATGAATATGCTAATATTAATGGGTTTAGATAATTTTAAAGTTTGGAAAAACACCTCTTTTTAAGTTGGCTTAAATTTTCAGGACTTCTATTTTCACATATATATAATTTATATATATTTTATAGTAATTCATATATATATAAAGCATATAACATATATATATGTATATATATTACATATATATATTACTTAAGTAAAAAATATTCTTGTGATCATCTGTGTATGTGTGTATTTGTGTGTGTGTGTTAAGCAAATATAGTTTAAAAGCCTGAAGTTACATAATCCAAATATTCTTATAAATATCTTTTGAAAATTGTGCTCATTTTTCTAATAGGTAATAATTATATGTAGGAAAGTAAACTCCTCTCAAATGTTGAAATAACACAATAAAAATATAGTTAACAAGGAACTTCTAAGTCAATAACTTTATAATTTGGTTTAAATTAATTATATATAAGTAATAACCTATAAGCTTTAAGTATAGTATAAGGTTATATAAAGCTTATAGGTTATGCTACATATACATATGTTATGCTACCTCAAATCATGGCAATAAGTTATGTGGTTATTTCTAATATTTCTAACACAAAGCATATATCTGTAATCAGTTTTGTGTGTGTGTGTGAATATACATTTACACAAAAGTTAAATTAGGAAGTGATTATTTTAACAAAAAGGATCTTAACTAAAGAATAACCCACGCAATTCCTATAAATGATAGTCATCTATTATGTACTATGTACTGGCTCTAGCCATGAATATGGCCTTGACTGAGTCCTTTAACCTCATTTGAGTTTCAATTTCCTCATCTATACAATGTGGATTTCACATTTTTTATGCTAAACAATAGAGTAATGATTAAGATGTGAACACTGTGCCAGGCTGGTTTGAATTCTGGCTCTCCCACTTATTAGCTATGTGATCTTGAACAAGTTTAAACACTTTATGTTTCCTTATGTTTATGTATTTCCTTATCTACAAAATGAAGCAATATCCTCTTCATAGGAGTATTGAATTAAATGAAATAATGCATATCAAATTCTTATGTCAGTGCTCAATAAGTGTTAGCAATTAGTTGTTTTTTAAAATGACCCTGAAATGTGAGGTACAAATGAAAGTACTAACTAAGTGAATAATAAACACAATTCCTTTTTGCATATTAGAATTTTGAGGCAGGAACATACTAAGGGTATGCCTAAGAAAACAGAGTAACTCTGTAATGGAAACAGAAACAATAACAAATTAGATATTGTTTCATGTAAAGGTGACAATTCACAAAAAATAAATCTTGAGACATTAAAAAAATCAGTTAATATTTTATGTTTATTTTTGTTTCAAAGATACTTGTATTCAAAGTATTCAAATAACTAGTTGAGTACCTCTACGTGGTACTTTTTTTTCTCTACAAACATTTTGTTATAAATGAAAGTAAGCTATACTTCTTCAACTCCCTACCCCGCAAAAATATGGTTTGTGGGTTTTTTTGAACCACTAATAACACTTTCAACATCACAAAAAGTGTATTGGTAGAACCAAGTAAAAGGTGTAATTTATTAACATAAATCTTTGAGTCTGTAAGTGTACTACCACAGACTATAGAAAGATATTGTCGGGGCGCCTGGGTGGCTCAGTCGTTAAGCATCTGCCTTCGGCTCAGGTCATGATCTCAGAGTCCTGGGATCGAACCCCGCATCGGGCTCCTCGCTCTGCGGGAGGCCTGCTTCTCCCTCTCCCACTCCCCCTGCTTGTGTTCCCTCTCTCACTGTGTCTATCTCTGTCAAATGAATAAATAAAATCTTTAAAAAAAAAAAAGAAAGAAAGATATTGTCAATTGAAATCTAAAGCAGAGGATTAACAGCTTGATGACTTACTCGAAAAGTTCATTAGGAAAAGCCATATCCACAAGTGCTGAAAATGTCTAGAGCCCAGAACTGTGGTTCTCTTTCTAAGTACACCATTACCAAGTTCTGGAAATGCTATTTCAATAGCTTTGGCAATAATTATAATTTAGAGATGTGGGGTTTTAATTCCCAAGAGTTTAAAGCATGATTGTCCCTATGGCTTAAATTTTCCTTTCTGTGTACTGGGATGTAGAGATAATGACTTTGGGAGAATGCACAGCTGAAACAGCACTAAACCACAAAGAAATCTGAGGTTACTAAATAGTGTCAAGGAGTTTTATCCATATGTTTCACTCTGCCTTCCAGAGAGTACTCCCAGACTAGAAGTTATAAATGGAATAAGAGGGGTGCCTGGGTGGCTCAGTTGGTTAAGCGTCTGCCTTCAGCTCAGGTCATGATCCTAGGGTCCTGGAATCAAGCCCTGCCTCAGGCTCCCTGCTCAGCAGGGAACCTGCTTCTCCCTCTGCCACTCCCCCTGCTTGTGCTCCCTCTCTCTCAAATAAATAAATAAAATCTTAAAAAAAAAAATAAATAAGTGGAACAGGAGCTCTTCAGCATTTAAACAATGTTTTCTATATTTGCATTTAGAATATACTACTAAATCCTTCATACCAAAGAAGGAAATATTTTCTATTAAACATTTAAAATTTTCATTTATTTAATGTAATTCCAATTGTATTAAAACAAAACAAAAACAAGAAGCCCTATATAAAACACCATAAACCAATCACAGCAAAAGAATGGATGAATTTACAAATAATGGGGAGGTGCCTGGGTGGCTCAGTCAGTTAAGAACCCAACTCTTGGTCTTGGCTTAGTTCTCAATCTCAGGGTTTTGAGTTCAAGCCCCATGTTGGGTTCCATGAGAATAATGGTTTACTGTGGAAAGATCCTGAGATATGGAGTCAGCCTGAACTGGTCTTAAAACAGGGTATAGCTCAGGATAGAAAAACTGAACCCCTATCTCCTTAGCTCTGAACTGGGAATAATGTCAACTGGGCGGTTGTCACAAATGACATGATTGATCATGCATCATAATCCACATGTTATTTATGTAGTGATTTGTGGACTGAGATAGCTATAAAGTTTGTACTTTATGCAAGTATTCACAGTTTAATATACTGTGTTAACAGAAATTTGAACTACGTTGTTAGGAAACTGGTGTTACGTAACTGAAACCCATGCATGCCAAAATGTGCAAGACTAGGACTATCTACTTTCATATTTTTTTTCCTACTGGCCTTTATGCTTTTGTCATGTTTAACTTTTATGTTATAAACCCCACAACATTGTTATGTTTATATGAGTAGTCAATTCTTTTAAAGGATTTAAATAATTTTTAAAACTCATATATTAACCCATGTTATCATTTCCAGTGTTCATCATTCCCTCATGTAAACCCACATTTTCATTTATCATTTTCTGCTTGAAAGACATCCTTTAGTATTTCTTGTAGTGCCAGTGATGAATTCTTTCAGATTTTATATGTCTGAAAGCAGCTTTATCTCATGTTTGACTTTGAAAGATATTTTGCTGGGTATAGAATTCTAGATAGACAGGTTTTTCCTTTCAGTGCTTTAAAGATGTTTCTCCATTGTCTTCTCAGATTGTTTCTGATGAAAATTCTGATGTTATATTCATCTTTGTCCCTTTGTTCTTTTTTATTGCTTTCATGATTTTATACTGGCTATGATGTGGCTTCATAGTTTTCTTAATATCTCTTGTGCTTGGAGTTCATTGAATATCTTGGATTTGCGGGTTAATAGTTTCCATAAGGTCTGAAAATTGTTAGGTCATTATTTCAAATATCCTGTATACTCTCCCCCCACTTCCTCCTTCAGAGACTCTAACCATACATTAGGCTACTTGAAATTATTCAACTCACTGTTCTTTTCCTTAAATTTTTTTCATTTTGAATAATTCCTATTGATATGTCAAGTTCACTAATTACTAATCTTCTACAGTGTGTAAATTGCCATTAATCCTATATGGTGTATTTTCACCTCAGACATTTTAGCTTTCATCTGTAAAAGTTTGAGTTTAGTCTTTTTAATATCCTCCATGTTTCTACTTAACTTTTTTGAACACATTTAATAACTGTAGCTATTTTAATATCCTGTTAAGTTTTAACATCTATATCAGATACAGGTTTGTTTCAATTGATTCTTCTTATAGGTTGTTTTTGCTTATTTGCGTGCCTAGTTATCTTTAATTAGAGGGCAGTCATTGTTAATTTTATCTCATAGGTGCTGGGTATTTTTGTTTTTCTAGAAGTATTTTTACACTTTGTTCTAGCATGCAGTTGTTCTGTGGGAATGGTTTGATCCCTTTTGACCTTGCTTTTATGATTTGTTGGGTGGGCCCAGAGCAGTGCAACCTAGGGCAAATCATTCCCTACTACTCAGGCAAGTAACTACCCAGTGACCTTGGTTGGTAAGAACTGGCATTATTACTAGATGCTTGTGAGCACCGGACAATGTTTGCTCCCTCTTAATCCCATCATGTCTTTCTCCAGCTTCCATTTCCTCACATATATGTGCTAATCAGTACTGAATTTAATTATCAAAGGGGATCATCTGCAGATCTCTGGAGTTCAGTTTTCTCTTCTCACAGGTACTCTGTCCTGTGAACTCTAGCTACCTTAGTCTCCCTAGTGTCTCAGCTCCATTTCTCACTCATGATGTCTACTGGGCTGTTCCTCAATTCTTCCTTGCATCATGGTCTGGAAACTCCCTCAAGGCAGTAAGCTGGGAAAATGGTAGGGCTCTATTTGTTTGTTTCCTCATTCTCAGGTTGTCTTGAAATCCACTTTTCCATGTAGTTTATTTGGTTCTTTCAGCAAGAAGTGTACATGCAGTCCTCATTATTCCATCTTGGCTGGAAACAGAAGTTAGAGCTATCTTTTAATAGATTATCACTTCCTGAGTTTTTGTGTAATATCAGAAAAGAATACCTATACTTATCTGAAAACACTATTAAAATACTTTTCCTTTTCCCAACTACAATCTGTGTGAGCTTGGATTTAATAGTAACATATTGTAACAAATTAAGTGCAGAATACCCCTCTTCTATATAGTGTGAATCTAACCAGAAACCTTGATTTTATTACTTGGATCAGAGTTTTACTAGCAGCTTGAGGTATGCCATTTCATCTTAGACTAGGCAATTAAGGTTTCCCTAATAGATTTAAAACCAGAACACCCAGAAGTTAGTAAAATAGTGAGGTAAAATGAAGACATTTTAAATAGCTATACATTTTATGTATTTCTTTACTCTTTTGTTTAGTGGTTGAATGAAAAAGAAGGAGATCTCTGTGTGGATTCATGTAATCAGTACACACCCACCTGCTCATGTACACATAAAGGATAGGAGTCATCTATAACAGCGACTTGGACTGTAAACAACAATTCTCCTGAGCTATACAGTTAAGCTATAGAATTCTAGTGAGTTTTTTTGGCACACTTGCCTGAAATGTAACAATTCTTTCCTGTACATATAATTTCCACAGACAAGTGATTTTTATGAATAGTTTCCAAGAATGACAGTACACTCAATAGTTAAGATCACAGTATTTGAAATTAGACTGCTTGGGTGCAAACTCGAGCTCCAACTACTTTCTAATTGTGTAACCTTGAGAATATCCCTTAATATGCTTACTTCAGCTTCTTTTTTTTTTGTAAAATGGCGGTAAAAGTGTTATTTACATAGTTGTTTTGAGAAGCAAATTAGTTACGGTAATTTCTTAAAATTGTGCATGGTAAATAAAACATTTAGCAACTTATAGAACAGCAATTACAGTTTCTTTTCAACCCTCTTGGCTATTAGCCAATGAACTTTAAAAGCACACATATCTGAAATCTACCCCTAGATGTACTTTTATGAAGTCTAAAGAAGGCACAACAACACACGTTTGTTGTTTTGTTTTTGAGTCCCACAAGTGATTCTGATCATCACATTCCGGCAAGAACTGAAGATCATAGTTAGACTTTAGATAAATTGTCACTTAGACTAATCAGTATTAGGCTAAATTTTAATTGTTCCTAGAAACATTTTCTAATACTGAATAGCTCAGGGAATCAGAGTCAAACTGCTTTAAGGAGGGGAAGGCAGAACTTTGCCATCAGAATATATCTAAATTCATAAAATATTTAATAAGTAACCATTGAATATCAGTATTGGGTAGACAGAGATGAGTAAGGTGCCTCTGTTCTCAGGAATGTAAAAGTTAAGTGATATAAGCACTGTTTCCCAAGGTTGGTACATGCCTGCATACAACTGACTCTGTGTAATAAGCAACCCAAGTTTTCCTGGGATCAGGGTTGCCTGGCTGCAGCAAGAAAGAGTAGTGATGGGGTGCCTGGCTCAATCATTAAGCATCTGCCTTCGGCTCAGGTCATGGTCCCAGGGTCCTGGGATTGAGCCTCACGTCGAGCTCCCTGCTCAGCAGGAAGCCTGCTTCTCCCTCTCCCACTCCCCCTGCTTGTGCTCCCTCTCTCGCTGTCTCTCTGTCAAATAATTAAAATCTTAAAAAAAAAAAAGAGAGAGAAAGAGTAGTGATAGATGGGCTCTATTCTGCAGTGGACTTTCCTGCAATCATGGCATTATTAATGTCAGTTTTTCCACAGCCAGCCTGAGATGCATAAACAGCAGCCAAGCTTGAGCTAGAATTAAGCTGTCAGGCCTACCAATTACTCCTCCTCTGTGTAGAAACAGATTTCCTAGAGTTTGGAAAAAGCCAACCTAGAGAAACTATCTATACAGCCCTGTGTGTGTTCACTGAAGGGCCACTAACCCCTACTGTTTCCAATAATACCTAAAGGAAGAAGAATGTGTTACAGTGTTACTCTACTGTAGATATGAAAATACAACTGTCAGAGTGATATATCTCTATATAGTCATACCTTAAAATGCATTTAATTGTTTTGATATTATCATAGCTCTAAGACACCTGAATAGTGGTAAATGCACTAATAGGTATTTTGCATCTATACCTTTCATCAAGTCTCCCAAAGCCATTTAGGACAAATAAAGCATCTTTACTGCCCTTATGACCTCTGTTTAGATTTTCTGGCTTAGTGAATTCTAAACAGACAAAAAGAAAAAAATAGAGTAATAGAGATGAACAAATTAGTAAAGTGAGAAAACTAATTAAGGGAAAATTAAATAGTTATAGGAAAACTAAAAAGAGAAAGATTCTCATTTTTATATTCTGGAATGAATTCTTTAATACACAAAACAATGAGCATTATTATTAAACAGTCCTTAATGTACTTTGAGTTACTATTTTTTTTAGTTTTATACTATGAAATAATTAATGCTCCTACAAACAAGTTATTTTATATACTAATTAATACTCAGAAGAAAATGGTACAATTGTCTAGGTGTTGATTAGAATGAAAGCAATCATTCTAATTTCAGCACAGCTTTAACCTGCCCTGTGATTTTCAGAATAACAGTATTCATTTCTCACCTATACAAAAAAGAAGTTGGACCAGATGATATCTAAAGGTTCTGACAGTTCTAAATGTTAATAATACTGTATTATTTATATAGCCAGTCTACTTTCTTTTTTCTAAACTTCTTAAATCAGCATTTTCCCTAAAAATAGTGGAAAGTTTCCAAAATACATCATGTTTTAGAAAAATAAAATTAAAATCTATTTCAGATTAGGAATTAAAAAGTGATTTACTGACAAATAAACTGAAGTCATTTCCCACCAACCATGTTCCTAAAAATATGAAAGTGTTTTTAAGATTCAGAAATGTATAAAAAACTTAGAAACAGTTACTGAAAGTAAAACTATAAAAAATAAAATCTTAAAACTTAGTGAGTTGAAGCTTTGTATTAGGGAGTTACTATGATAAAAAAATTAGTAGATTACCACTTTTGGATGATCCACAATATTTAAAAATATAACTACTTACTCTGTATAATTCTACAACATAATTGCTAACTCTCCTGAATTTCCAAAACTTTTATGCAATTATTTTCACATACCTCTCCAAGGAAAGGTTTCATTGAATTGCAACATTGATTTATTAAATAAAATAGAAGTCCATAAAAAAAAAAAAGTCCATGCTTTATAAGTCAGCATTAAATTTCTCACAGAGAAATCAAGAAAAAATATTTCCTATCACAGATAGCTATTAACTGTTGTTGTTACATCTTCCAACTAATATTTCATAAAAGAAATCAAGTTAAGTGGGAGCTGCCTTTACAGATGATGCCTGTGCTTTGGCCATTCTTCGAACCAGTGCTTCTTGTCTTTTTCTTTGAATTTCTTCAGGAGAATACTTTTTATTTTTCTCTTCTTCCTCTAAAAATTAAACAAAATATAGATATTACTTTTATAGACTGTAAAGTCATCCTGAATATGAGTTTTAGTTTTTACTTTTTTATTATCCAGACTTGCCATACTGGTATAACTATTTCACACTAAACTACTATATATGATACTCCACTTACAGATACAGTGCTCTAGCCAAAAGAAAATCAAGCACTGATCAATCTGTCCTTATTTTATATACCTTTTCAAAATGTCATAAAGTTCATTTGATTAAACTCTACATTTTAACTTCCTAGCACATAATTCTTGTAAATAAGGACATCTAATTTATATAATTCACAAATGAATATTTTTTTAAAAACTGGGATTTTAAATGTTATATACACTTTAGTAAAAAAGCAGTCAAAATATAATGAATTAAATACAAATACCTCAAGTAGTGTGTTTTTACTGAAAAGCTATATTAATATTCACACCAACTTTTTTCCCTCTATAGAGCTCCAAGATTTTCATTTTAGCCATTGAGGAAAAATGTTTTAGAGTGATCTAGTGAAATCTATCATGACAATAAGCATATAATTCACTGTCAAATATTTTTATTTGGAGAATACATTTTATATAAACATTAGAAAATTATTTCAAAAAGGAGAATATCTGAGTAAAATCTTCAATTTGAATGTCTTTTTAAGTATACAGAAATGTGAGGCATTCTGACATATTCCTATGCAGCATATTTTAGTGTATACTTCAGGGATAATATACTATAAAATAAACAGTGTGTTTTAAATTAATGAAAATAGTTAAGTTTGATTTTAATAATATATCCAATTATATCTATGCAAAATACTAAGTTCTAATAAAATGAATTTAATTCCACAGTTTAGTCACTTTAAGCTAAAATATTAGATTATCTACATAATGGTAATAATAATCAAACTTTAAAATTAGCAAACGTATTTTCTCATTTAAAGGATGTTTTAAAATTAAGACCATCACCTTAAATCATATTTACATGACCTTGTACTGGTAAAACTGTTTATGTTGTAAAATCTGCCTCTCACAGAATATAAATCTGTAGTACTGTTGGCAGAGAAGTATTATTTACACTACCATCTAGACAAAGGTTCAGATTTTGTTATAAGACATTTCCCTTGTTAACTAAGGGAGATTATTTGTCCAAAATAAATTATCTGTCTCCCCTTCCTTTCTTGGTATAATTGGAAATGGGAGAGGGTGTTCAAGGTAAGAGGTAAATATTTTAGATAAACTCCCCAGATTACTCTGATGCCTTATTTATTTCCTAAACTAATTATCTCACAGATTTGTAGCTATTTTTCCTTACAGAAAGATGCTACAAGATACTTTATAATTAGCTTGACTAATTATCTAATATTTTAGTCTCAAAGCTGAGAAACGAAAACTCAGAACACACACACAATTGAAGTGACCATAAGTTTGGAAGGAAAACAGGTTAATAATCCATGCCAGCAGAAAAGAACATAGCTCTCTAAAACTGGTTTTACAACTGGCTTGGTGATATTCTTGGAAAATAATTTCAAATGATGTAAATAAAGTCACACTATGAATTTTTGACTTAGAGAGAGTCATCCATTTCTCCCATCAGCTCTTCCTTTAACTCAATCTTCAATAAAAATACATGGTAAAGTCTCAAACTATTACAAGATACAAAGCAAAAGTGGCTCTTCTTAATCTTTATCCTAGAGCAGAGGTCAGCAAAAAAGAAAAAAAAAAATCTGTGAAGGGCCAGAAAGTAAATATATTAACCTTTGAAGTTCATATGGTCTTTTGTTGCAACTGTTCAACTCTGTTATTGTAGCATGAAAACAGCCAGCCATGGACAATACAAATGATGTGACTATGTTCAAATAAAACTTTGTTTAGGGACAATGAAATCTGAATTCCATATAAGTTTCAAAGGTCATGAAATATTACTCTTCTGCTGATTTTTTCAACTATTTAAGATGTGAAACCATCTTAGCATGCTGGCTGTACAAAAACTGGCTATGGGCTGGATTTGGATAGGCCATGGTTTGCCAAACCCTGTCTTACAGCAATGAGGTAGTTAAATGGGTTTTGTTTCAGAGACATTCTCTGGAGAGCAGCTTGCTACATAACAAAGTAAAAGAAAGTAGAAACAACAGACAATATCAAGAAGATTAATGTTAATTAGAAGATTAGGTACTATCAGTAAACTTAAAAAAATTGATAAGATAAACTGAAAGAGATTATCCACCCATAAAAAATGCAGATAGGATAGTAGTTTTGGGAAAACTCAAATATTGCAGAGATGTAGTCATTTTTAATATAGTTATAACTATATGTAACTAAATTCATGTTGAGAGTATGGTCCAATTAATTACACTTATTTAAATATAAATTTAAATATTTTAAATTATAGATTGACCACAATTTTTAAAAGTTTCAAAATATCAAGGCTATAATGTAGGGAAATATTCATTGTCAATGTTGATAAGAATATAAATTGATGTAACTTTTGGGGAAGATTTGGTGATATCCATCAAATTCAAAACATTCTCTTACATAAATTTTTCAATAATTAACAGATACAATCATAGGAGCATGGAGAAATTTATGTAGAAGTATATTCACTGGCGGATTGTTTGTAATGCAAAAAATGCAACCAAACTGGACTTTCCATCAATAGAGAAACAGTTAAATAAATCATGGTACATCCATATAATAACATACTATGTAGTTATTAGAAGGACTGAAGCGAAACTATATGAATAACAGGAAAAGATAGCTATATTAGATGAAGGCAAAACCAAGTTGTCAAAGGGTAGGTACATAGTACATAATTCCATCTGATTAAATAAATGTGTAGGTATACACACATATACATACACACAAACATGCATGCACGCTTTTATATGCACAGAAAATACTACATGATGTATTCCAAACTGTTAATTGTGGTTTCCCTGAGGAATGGCTGTGAGAAAAGAGAAATAGAGAATTTAATTTTTCACTTCAAATTAATCTATTCTGTCTTCTTTCTTTTTAAACAACCAGCATATTACTGTTACAAGTTAAAAAAAAAAAAAGGGTGGGATCACTTAAATAGGAAAGTTGTAGCAGTAATGCCAACAAAATCATCATCTAGAGTCTAAATAGAAAACAATGATCTAATGCTAAAAGGAGCCAAAGACTCCCTCACCTTATTAGCATTAATCTACATAATAGATAAGAATCCTAATGTTAGCCCTCAGTGAGGAAGACTGATTAAGAAAATCAATAATTACAAGCTAGCATAGTAAATGCTATAACAGAAGTTAACACTGGGTATTGGAGAAACCCAGAGAAAGTGAAGCTAAATTATCTGGGTGGACAGAAACATATTGTGTTTTAAAGGACAAATGGAAAATGGCTGGGCAGATTTGGTATATGCAATGTGGGGCACTGTGTTTCTGGTGAAGGAAACAGCATCTGTGAAAACATGAGGCTGTGAGAAAGAACTGGGCATTAAGATGTACAAGTAGTTATGCCAGACACAGTCCTTTTTAAAAAACATTACAACGTCAGTGAATAACAGATTTTTCACATTATATTGCATGATATTCATTCAAATACTTACTAAACATCTTCTAAGTGGCAGATACTGTGGTATGCCTAGGTATTCACAGATAGGACAGACAATAATCAATACTTGCTTGGAAATTGTGATAAAAGAAACAAAGGATGGAAAATAACAAAGAAAAGACCTATTTATAGGTTGTTCAAGGAAGGTCTCTATGAGGAAGTCATACTTAAAATGAGACCTAAGGATAAAAAAGCAGCAACCAAAAGACAGGAATGGGGGGGGTCAAATGCTGGGAAGTAGTAGTTTTAGTTAGGAATAGCACAGTCAGATCTCCTGAACTAGGAAAGAAACCATTCTGTTTGAGGAACCAAAAAGATAGCTAGTGTAGTTGAAGCTTAGTAGGTGAGATAAAAAAGCAGACAGACAGGCTAAGGAGTGGTAATCCAGGGCCTTATAAATCAGTGTAGAGTTGGAATTTTATTTGAAAAATGATGGGCCATCATTGAAGGCTGTGGTTAAGCACAGGAATGCCATATTTGCCTGTTTGTTTTTTAAAAGATTATCCTACTGTTTGGAGACTAGAATTGAAAAGGGACAGATAAAAGAACTACAATCTAGTCAAAAAATGTTGGCTTGGACAAGGGTGGTAGCAATTAAGAGTGAGAAAAATGGACAATTTTGAGATGTATTTTTTTTTGAGGTAGAAACAATGGCACTTGATAGAATTGTGGGAGAGGAATCAGAAGAATCAAAGATGACCGGTTGTACTTAGTAAATTACAGTTCTAACCATCACAACTAACAGAGTTTTATATCAGATATTATAGTAGCAAATGTGTTTAATTAGAATGCTCTGAATTTTCAAATATCGTTCACCTCAATGTTCTGCTAAACATAGGAATAAGATTATTCAAGTTTTAAAACAATGAGACATTTAGTAAACACAATCTCACAGCAATATATCTACCTAAACTACAATTTTCTAGGAAACAATTCAGAAAACATTCAACAAATATTTATTGAGTACCTACCATATGCTAGTCACTGTATTAAAAGCTAAGAATCTAATGCAGTCTTCTGAAAACATAAATCACACACCCTTTGTATATTAGAGCATAATTATTTTTAAGAGTCACTTTAAGAATTCTAGTTAAATATCATGATTTTTTAAATTGTTACACAAATTCAATATAACAAATAACTAGTTTAGCTACTTTCCCAGGTGATAATTTTCAAAGAAAACTGTTTTTTTTTTTTTTTAAGATTTTATTTATTTATTTGACAGAGAGAGAGAGAGCGGGAGCAGGAACACAAGCAGGGGGAGTGGGAGAGCGAGAAGCAGGCTTCCCGCCAAGCCGGGAGCCCAACGTGGGACTCGATCCCAGGACCCTGGGATCATGACCTGAGCTGAAGGCAGACGCTTAATGACTGAGCCACCCAGGCGCCCAAAGAAAACTATTTTATACATACCTTTTGAAGGCTGTTCCATAGATTCAGAACGTTTCACCAAAGACTGCTGTTGAACAGTCTTCCCACAAAATGGGCTGACAGTTTTATTTTTCTCCAAACCCTGTGTAATTTTGGTATCAGAAATACTTGCTGGTATACAATTTTGATTGAACTGGGAAAGAATCTGAGAATTTTTCATCTTTGTAAACGTATACTTAGGAAATCTAACTGGTCTGTTAGGGTCACTCTTAGCTCCATCTGTTGTGCTCCTATGGGATAGATGCTGAGTACTTAATTTCTTCTTGTAAGTAGCAGTTTCTGTATTCCTATGATCTGAACTCACATTCAAACTTGAATTTCCTATAAGAACCGATTCAGTACTATTCACTTGTATTGGAACATCAGTGTTATTCCAGGAATAACGTAGATTATTGATCTGACAATTTGAGTTCTTAGAGTATATTGTTAAATTAGTTGTAGCACCTAAAAAGCTTGGAGAATTTCCACAAATTTCTCTTTTTTCCGTCTTCACTGGTTTATTTAATTGTGAGCTATTTGTGAAAGATGTATGCCCTGAAATGCTGCTCAGATTCAAATGCTTTGACTGCACCAGTTGACTTTCTTTAGATGTAGTAAACATGTTTTCGGCTCCATGTTTGGAACTATTATTGATCTCAAGTTTACTTTCTGATATCTTGCTGTCCTTTCTAATGTCTTGTTGCTGAGTTAGTCTTTCAATATCATCACATGCTTGGTATAATAAATCATCATCTACATCATCTGCTTCCCAGGTATTCTCTAATTGATGACATGCTTTAACAACTTCATTGGCAAATGATGGATCATTCCAGTCATCAAAGAAAGAACCTAACTTTGATGTATTAGTCTGATTTGGATTATAAACACTGGTTTCATTGCCCAAAGTTGCAGAGCCAAAATGATCTATATTAGCAGGTGCTTTAAAAGACTGATTATAAATGGACTTATTTTTTTGTTCATTAGAATATCCTGTGTTCAAAGTTGACTTTTCAGAAATATTTACATTAGAAGTAAATTTAGTGTGCATATCTTCTTTTACTTTTGTCAGATTAGACGCAACTGTACAGTCTTGAATTTTGTCTTGAACAACAGTTTTATTGAAAGATTTCTCAAATTTCATTTTATTTCCAGTGGATGGTAATTTGCTTGGTTTATCATTTGGGTTTAGTGAAAACCCGTATTTTCCAGAATCTATTAATTCCTTGTTATATGTCTTTGAAGGGAGATCCTGTAAAATTTTTGAATCCCTTACCCTGGTATCTAGACTTGTATTCATTCTTGACTTATTTTTATCATTTTTATTGTTAAAATTATAATTTTGCTTTTGATCAGCAATCTGGGCTGTTCTAGGAGCAGGGAAAAGTTCACACATTTTGACATTTTGCATAACAAAAGGTTCATTACTTAGTAAGTTTTCCCAATCATCCTCAAAATCACTGGTAGTAAATGCATCAAGGTGTTTATGAAACGCTTCTGGCTTCTCAGTATAAGAAGTCACACATGATTTTGTCATTCCAGGAGTGTCTACTTGACAAAAAAGTGATCCTGGGGTTTTATCTGGCAGTTTTTCAGGGACCAGAATTTCATTCATAATGATTTTCTCCTCTTTTAAAGCGCTTTTCTTTTCAAAGGTGGTATTACTTGTGTTCAAAAAAGCATCTGACAAATCTTGGCTGAACTGTCCGCTACATTTCTGAGTAGAGCCATCAAAAATGGCATTAAAGGCTGCTTCAGCATTTTGGTCAAATGGCTTCTGACTGCTATTTTGATCATTTACCACCGACATTTTGGTGTTTTCTTTCATCGGCTTCTTTATTATAGAATTATCTATTTCAGGACCTATATCATGTAATAACTGCATTTGTACATTATCTTTATAATTACTTAAAGTCTCTGCTTCTGCAACTGTCTGGATAAAATCATGATTTCTTTTGTTTTGCTCTTGAATCACATCTAACTCTTCCATATTTTTATCAAATTGCTTAGCCAATTTCATAAGTTCTTCCTCTCGATTTTGTGTTTTTAACCTATTGAAAAAATTATAGAAATTATAACTAAGAAAACTTCTAAGGGTCATTATAAATATTCAACTGTTATTAAGCATATTTTAATATATTAAAACTCAAAATTTTAACAATTATTTTAAGTCTAAAATTTTACATGTCAAAACTAAAAAATATAATTTATAGCCATTTTGATATATTTACAAAGCCAAAACAGAATATTAAAAATATTTACTCCACTGAATCTCGGGAAAACTGTAAAGTTTGAACTTACTTTGTGCAGCTGATTTTTGCTCTTGATTTTCCTTTTGCTACACTAGGAGTACAAGGAATAGCAGTTGCACCAATCCACATGCCAAGCATGGAGTTTGTTGTTGGTTTTTCATCCTTTGGCAGAAGGGAAAAAAAAGAAATTTACATAACAAAAAAAAGAAAGAAAAGAAAAAACTTTAACTACACTGAATTGTTTTCCTAAAGCAAAAAATTTTGGTAAGGTGATAGTTACTAAACAAATCCAGAATAATGAGAAGTTGGAGGATGGCAATAACAAGCTGTAAGAAGTGATCCTTTTACATTTCAGGAAGTGAAAACATTCAGAACTGGTAATTTCTTATTTTCTAAAAAATTAAGTTTTAAGAATTTAATTAGTTAACATATGCATATTCAACAGTAAAAGCAGTTTTTTTTTTTCCCAAGAGAAAACCGACTGATTTATTAAGAATAGAGAGAGATACATATGGAATTCTTTCTGTATCACCTGATTCTCCAAATTTTCCCTATCCCCATTATAATCTTTATCTAAATTTGGACAATCCATGTTGACCTGAACTGGGAACACATAAAATTAAACTCAGGACTGAGTCAAGTGCAAGGTTAGAACTGATGCTAAGAATATGGCAGGGATAAGAACAAAAATAAGTAGAGAAAGCAGAAAAAGAAGTTTAACCACTATTAAGGAAAAGAAAGGGCCATTTTAATCCTCGATGTTTTTGCTACTCCTTTCAGTGAGCTGATCATGCAAAAAAATTAGAAACTGAATTTATTCATTAGTTACAAATGAACAAATCAAATGGTTTATCCATTTTCCACTCTATTTTTGTACTTAGAATGAATATAATACTTAGAATGAACATAAATAACTATCACACAAGCTAAAAATAATCTTATCACTAGGTTATAGGATACTTAAAAGCATGGACTGATCTTATGATCAGCACCCAGAAAAATGCTCGGCATGAAGAAGCTATCAGTTTATATTTATTTACTAGGTTTAGATGAAAATATCTCTACAACTTGATACTTTAAAATCCTCATTCAGCAAGCAGTTTTCTTAGATGTCCAGTTGAACCTAGATTTTAGCTTCACAAAATACTCCAGTAATCAATAATTTTACTTTCAGACTCAATATATATTTTCACTTTTGTTTCAACAACAACCTTGAATTTAGGGAAAATATTCTTAATGATTTAATTATGGACCCTTTGTCCATTTACTAAGTATTTTTAAATTCATTCAATTTTTAGAGAATAAAGGTATGACAACTTTTTATGTCCAATTTTATATATACAAGGGCCCTGTGTATGTTTTTATACTATTTGTGTTAAATTTTAAAAATGTCTTTAATAATTGCATAATTTATTGATTTCCAACTACAATCCAGGTGTTATATAAGGAATCTGAACACATTACTTCATTTAATCCTAAAGAGTATTCTGTGTAGAGTTGTATAAAAATTATGAAAAAATACACATCCTCAAATAAACAACACTATATGAAAAGTATCCCTCAAAAAAGTGAAACGATTGTCCAGGGAAAATGGAAGTGAATATTTGAGGGGGGGGAAAAATTGCCATCTCTGAAAATATCAAGGTGACTTAAATAACTACTTGAGGAGGTAACTCACCTAAAAATAAAAAGCATGAACATGTCATTCTGAGAACATGACAATCTTACACTACCAAAGACTTACATGCTTTAAAAGTGCTTAGTTGAAAAGAGTAACATTTAAAAGCAACTAATTTCACTGTATTTTTTCTTATATACAAGTTACCACTTGCATATTGTTTCTATTTCTTTATGTGAGCTATTATTTCCAGCCCACTTAGGTAAAGGGTCCAGTAATTTACTCAACTATCTTTTTATCACTATTTAAACTGGCCAGTCCAAACACATTTTATTATGCTTCTTTCATGTGAAACCCACAATTAATGAAGATCTATTGTTAACTTATGAAGTAAATAGTATTATGGCATAAAAGCTATTTAACTAATGAACCGAATGTAAAATGAATTTCTATGACACGCCGAACATGGAATGTAAAGCTAGTAGCAACAGAGTTGTTTTGACTGTGCTAATTGTAATTTTGGATATTTTACAGCCACTAAGAAAAACTTTATTTCCTGTCTCCTCCACCTGGATGATGGTAATTCCTTGTAATCACAGTTTGGAACAATGCCATCTATTGTTTATGGTGAACATACAGTCACTATCCAAGGGTATGTCAAGGAAAAATCCCATACTTCCTACAAAGAGGACACTGAGCAAAAATTAGATGCTTTCTGAATTTAAATATTGTTAAATAAGAAAAAGAGAGAGGACAGTAAAGAGGTTCAGAATACAGGCTGCCTTAAACTTGTATTTCTATTCCATTCAAGCAGTAGAGGAACTGAAATAAAGATAGAGAAACTTTTGAAGATGGTTCTATGACAGTAAATAATTTAATTATTATAATGAACTTTAAAATAATCTTACATTTATAGTGCTTATGTTTACAAAGAATTTTTATCTAATTTAATCCTCATAATAGTCCAATGGAGAGAGCAAGACAAGTAATTCTAGTTTATGGCTGAATGAACTAAAGTTCTGAGAGCTTAAGTGACTTGCTTATGGTCACCCAATATAGGAGGCAGACTGAGAACTTCAAATCCAGTGTTCTTTCCACTTTTATGAGTATTTCTCAATGATCAGATTAGTCCACAAGTATTAAGAAGAGCAGTTTCAATGGGGAAAAATTGTGCTATTGACAGTAAACAAATACCAATCACAAAAAAACTTTAAAAAGTTTAAATTTTTATTGTCTGATTCTATTATTTTAGTAACTTTAAAAATAATGCCATATATTGTTAAACAACATTAAACACAAAATAAACACAAGGCTCTAGTCAAAATTCATTACTCTAAAAAAATTAAAATATAAGATATATGCTTAGGAAAATATATATTGCCAATTATACATTATGTTCCTTTTTTCAAAACATGTATTTCAGTAGTACAAAAGGTAAAAGTAACCTTTGGTGCTCTATTTTCAGAAAAGAGAATTGTAAAAGACAACATTTTTCATACATGGGCCTAGTGGCATAGTTTTCACAGTTCTAAAATAAACTATAAAACTAGTGATATTTACCTGAGGAGCAATACGATTAACAATATGTGAGATTTCATCACTATCTGTGGTGTAAATCTGTTTTTTTCTTCCTTTACCTAAAGAACAAAGACATTCCTATAAATGGTAAACAAAAAACTTAATTTTTAAAAATAGGAGTCACTTCATAGAAAACAATATTAATTAGCATGGCTTAGATCACTATGCACTGACATCACATGCGTACCATACCAATCACGTAAGATTTCTCAAAGAACATCTGTTGTATAAAAGTTCTGTTATTACCCTACTGAAATTCTATAGTTAAATCCTAATCATTTGCCAAATATTTACCCAGATAAAAATATTAATTAATAATAAATTACCTAACTGTTTTGTCATTGGAGAATTTTGATCCCAAAAGATATCATTTTGTCCATCTGGATCATTAGGAGAACTGAAGGTAGATGACAATAAATCCATTTTCAGCACTCTCTTTGGTGTTTCATATCTTTCTACATAAAATAAGATTAAAAAACAATTGTTGCATTGTAAAGCATTACTTTACTTCCTAATACCCCAATGTCACATATCCTTTAGATTACTTTTTATAGTCTAACTATAAAATTTTCTCCCAGAGATGATATTACTTTAATAACAACTGAAATGTTTCACATAAAAATCCTTGTAACACTTCACAAATCTGACACTGTAAATAGCAAGTATTTTAAGATAACTCAGTAGCTCTATGAATGTCTACTACTGTATAATCTAGTCACTCCATTCATTACCACTGGAACTTGGAGGCTTTGGGAACCACCTGTAATTTCGAAAATCAAAAAGCTCCCAGCAGAAACTTCAGTAAAAGTCTTTTTAGCTCCCTTTCATTAATTCTATCCAACTTATGCTAATTACTTCAAAAAGCTTTAGCGACCCATTTCCTGTGAAGTTTTGTCCACTATCACTTTTAAATTTCTACAGACCTTTGTTTTTGTTCATTCCAGAATTGCCTTATGGGAGTAAACTAAAGACAAATAAGGTAACAAAAGTCGTATTTTAAGAGCACACTTTAAGAAAGAGCTTTTGTGTGAATTTCAGTTCCTACCAGGATTTACTGGAAATCTTTAAAAAAATAGAACACCAAAAATTGACCAGAATGAAATATTCAGGGGCCCTTAGTTTCCTACTTTGAGGGACATCATACACAGGACTTCCGGTTTATTCATAATGAAGTGAGACATCACCCAGACTCTTGAGGATGAGAGAGAGAGCTATAGCTGTTTATAAGATCCCTTCACTAAAGCAAGTCAGGGCAAAAAGTCTGCGGGGGCGGGGCGGGGCACAATTCCCCTGGAAATAAAGTGAAGGCAACAGGTTATCAGATAGTTTTCCTTGCTCTGCCACTGCTGAAGACTGGAGGAGCAGTATAGAAATAGCCGCCCTCCTTCCCTCAAACAGGTAAATCACAGGGCCTGTTCCTACACCAGGGGCAACAAGTGGGTGGTCACACAGAGCGTGGCAGAGCTCAAATTCGGAGACTAAAACCATGGGGGTAGTGGCGTCGTGTTCCTTTCGGACTCACGAGGGAAGAAGCCCAGAGAAAGCAAGCACTAAGACTCCACCCCCACCCGCACCCTAGGATCGCCCATTGCAAGCGGGGCTGTGGGGCTGCAGCGCTTAAGCCCGGAGAGGCCGCGTTGCCGACGTCTCACCCTCGGGGTTACTTTTACTGCACGAAGCGGCTGCTGGAGGCTGCTCTTGTTGCGGCACGGGCCGGGGAGACGTCTCTCCGGCCCTGCGGGGCTCTGAGCCGCGGGCCGACCTCAGCCGCCTCTTCCCTGGCTCGACCATCGAGCTGCATTCCTCAGCCGCCGCCGCTTTCCGCGGCGTGTTCTTCAGGCCAGGGCTGTCCCCATGTTTCCTTCGCCGACTCATTGCCTACACACCCCCTCCGCCAGCCCCTTCTCCTTTCACATTTTGCAAGGGGAGTAGTAAGGCAAGGGAACTACAAGCGGGACTCAGCGCCAACGGCCGCCGCCATTTTGGCCGATAGGGCGCTCGAAAGAGGCAGCCGCTCATTGGCTGCGTCTGGGCAAGGGGGCGGAGCGGTCAGGGTGCTAGCGGCGCGCGCTTCCGCAGCCCGCCTCCAAGCTCGCCGGGCTCGGCTCAGACTCGTCCGGATTGGAAGTGATGTAAGGAGTAGTGAGCTGGTCAGAGCAGTCGAGTGAGAGTATGGGAGGTGGAAAGAAAATTGAATCCACTGGCACCTTTTTACTGTATTTACAGCTGGAGTTACACATTACTCAGATTTAGATAATTGTGGGCTTTAGTATTTTAAAGAAGAAATAAAAGGTATAGATTAGGAAGGAAAATTTTAGCTATTTTTTCATAGGTGATGTGTGCATAGAATAATCCCAAAAGTGTAGAAGTTATTAAATATATAAATTAATTTAGCGGAGTTGCAGATACGAAGGAAATATTCAAAGACCAATTATGTTTGAATCTATTAGGAACAAACAACACTGACTTTTAAAGAAATACGATTTCTGGGGCAACTGCCTTCGGCTCAGGTCATGATCCAGGAGTCCCCAAATCGAGTCCTATATTGGGCTCCTTGCTCAGCGGGAGCCTGCTTCTCCCTCTCTTCCCGTCTAGTGCCATCTCTGTCGCTATCTCTGTCTCTCTCAAATAAGTAAATAAAATCTTTAAAAAAATAAAATATGATTTCTAATAGCATACAAGATATCAAGTAACTAGAAATAAATTTAACCAAAATCGCAACATTTCTACAGAGAATATGAAATATTTTTGAAAGAAATTGAAGACCTAAATACAATTGACCCTTGAACATGGCAAGTGTTAGGGGTACTGACCCCTGTGCAGTTGAAAAATCACTGTTACTTTTAACTCCCCGTGAACTTAACTAGTAATAGCCTACTGCTGTTGACTAGAAGTCTTCCAATAACATAGTTAATTAACACGTATTTTGTATGTTATATGTATTGTATGCTGTATTCTTACAATAAAGTAAGCTACAAAAAAGAAAATGCTGGGCTCCTGGGTGGCTCAGTCGTTAAGCGTCTGCCTTCGGCTCAGGTGATGATCTCAGGGTCCTGGGATCGAGCCCCACATCGGGCTCCCTGCTCATCAGGAAGCCTGCTTCTCCCTCTCCCACTCCCCCTGCTTGTGCTCCCTCTCTTGCTGTGTCTCTCTCTGTAAAATAAATAAATAAAATCTTTTTAAAAAAATGTAATTAAGAAAATCATAGGAAAAATATTTTATAGTACTGTGCTGTCTTTATAAAAAAACAAAACTAACTATAAGTGGGCTTGCACAGTTCAAGCCCATGTTGTTCAAGGGTCAACAGTGAATGGAGGATTACATCATGTTCATGGTTGCAAGACTCAATATTTTTACCTTATTTCTTCCCAAATTGACTCAATGCAAATCCATTCAAAATTGCAGTAGGTGTATGAGTGTAGGTTTGTGTGTGTGTGTTGCTGGGGGGTTGGGTGAGGGGTGTAACATGACAAGTTTATTTTAAATGTATATGGAAATGCAAAGCACCAAAAATATCCAAGAAATGCAAAGCACCAAAAATATCCAAGGAGATCTCTTGAAGAATAATAAAGTTGGTATGTACCACGTATAAAATCGTGGTAATTAAGACACTGTGGCAATGGTGAAAGGATAGACAAACATGAAAGAAACAGGATAGATGGCTCAGAAACAGACCTTTACATAAATGGACACTTGATTTAAGAACGAAGGTGATACTCCTAAGCAGTGGGAAAAGGACTTTTTGATAATGAACAGTGCTTGGTTGATTTGATAGTCACATTGTGGGAAAAAAAGAAACAACCTCTATTTCAAACCATAACCCAGATCAAATGATATGCAAGTTGATTATATATTTAATTGTAAAAGATAAAATAATTAACATTCTAGGAACTGTCTATAAATTGTCCTAATGACAGGAATGATTTTTAAATTGAACAAAAATGTCACTAACTATGAAAAAAAAATTATATACTTGAGTACATTAAATTGATAACTGAAGAACTTAGGTCTATCCAAAGACAACATTAGGGAATGAAAGGCAAGGCACAGATTGGAAGAAGGTATTTACCAGATGCCAATTGGGCCCATATGTAAAATATATGAAAAACGGATATAAATTGCTAAGAAAATGATTGACCATCAATAAGAAAAATGGGTCAGATACTTTAGCAGGCTCTCCAAAAGAAAATCTCAAAGATCAATAAACTTGTATAAAGGTGCTCAACCTTATTTGTAATGAGGAAAATGAAAAATAAAGCCATAATGTGATACTCCTCAACACCCATCAGAATGGCTAAAATTAAGACTGACAATAGGGGTATCAGGGGAACCAGAGATGAGACCACAGCCTCAGCCACTACCTTGATTGCAGCCTGTGAGGGACTCAGAGCCTGAGGACCCAACCAATGGGAATTGTCACATACTGCTGGTGAGAGTAACTTGGTACAACAGTTTTGGAAAACAGTTTTTGGTCTAGCAATCCCACTTTGAGGAATATAACCAATGGAAATGCATGATGCACTTGTGCATCAAGATACATTTTATAAAAATGTTTTTAGCAGTAAAATTAAAAATCACCCCAACCTGGAAGTAAGCCAAACATCCTTCAAGAGTACAAGGCTTAAATATATTGAGCTATAAACAAAATGCTACATAGCAACATAAAAGAAAAATCACAACTCCTTGCAACAATGTGGAAAATCTCATAAAGTTGAGCAAAAGAAGCCAGACTCCCAGTCAATTACATCCCAAGAATACTGTATAATTCCATTTACATGTGAACAGGCAAGGTGTTGTATAGGGTTGTAAGTTTAAGTGTTAAAATTATAAAGAATAATCAAGGAATCGATTACCATGAAAGTCAGGATAATGGTTACCTTGGGGGGGGAGAAGGGACAATGATTAGAAGGGAATAGGGTGGCAGTAATCTGGTGTTTTGGCTTTGTTCTTTTTCTTGTTCTAGTTGTGATTTTGTGGTAATTCATTGAGCGGAATATGTTGTTTTGTGTACTTTTGCGTGTATACACTATATTTATCAATAAAAATATTTTTAAAACTTTTGTAAAGCAAAAATATTTGTTTCCACGGAGGAACTGAAATGTATTTCTTTGTAATTTACCCTGTCTGGCTGAAAGAAATCCTACAACTAAATATGAAGTTCAGTTCTAACACTTATATAAACCAATGTGACCAAATATTTCCCTTCTTTTTCCTCAGTCCTTGACTTTCTACTGATATTTCCCTTGCCATGATTGTTTTTAATCTCCATATTTTAAACCATTATTTAGTTTTATATATTTATACCTGGATATGACTGCTTGGAATGTGACATCTCTTAAAATTCACATCAACTACATGAAACTCCAATTGTTCAAATTAACAGGAATAGTTATTTCTCTTGGGGATCTCTCCTACCTACCTATCAACTGACCAAGAATCCCAGAAGCAGAACAAAAAAAAAGTTCACGTTTGCTACACTTTATTAAATAGATGGCATCATAGCTGCCTAAAAGACTTAACTTACCCTAAAAAGAATCCACCTCACACTTAGAAAATAGTTGAAGTTTGAAGAATTTAATAAAGCCTATAGGAGTAATAATCATGTGGTAATCCTTTAAAGCATATCAATACTGCAAATAAAATAACAATGAATAATTTCCCATTACTGTCCAAATTCTATAGTGCCCAAGTAACCCTTGTAAAAAGGAACAACTGGAGCCCAAAGAACAGCCATGTGTTGTTACCTTAGCATACCCAGAATGGTTGTAATTGTAATCATTATGTGGTAGGAAGCTATCATAAGTTTTAGCTTGGAAGTTACTTAATTCACACAATCTGTTACAGTTCTAAATGTAGTTCAAATTAACTGTACTTCCTAAATGTAGCTCTTGAAATCAGTACAGTACAATTAAGTCCTTGATAAAATGTTTTTAAAAAACAAAAGATAAGTCTCCTAGACATTTGAATGCAATATGATTCAAAATGCCAAAACTTAGCATTTCTAGGCATTTGGATACAATGTACATACACGTAAGGTTTAATACAACTAAAAATTTTTTGATAAACCAAAGTTAAACTCTTACTTGTTTACTTGCAGGAATTATCCATAAGCTTGACAGTGATTATTAAACAAAAATTAATTGAGAGTCTATTGATAAGGAGATGTTATGTGGATTGATTGCCTTGTCATATCACAATGATACTACCTGCTGGCTGGGTGGCTAATTGTGAGAAGTCTTTGTTTCAAGAAAAAAAAATGAAAATCATAATGTGCTACATAATAGCACATTATGTGTACAGAGCCCTGCCCCAGTTCCAAATATATCAATTGGCAATTGTATAGCCAAATATATCAATTATCAATAGATACAACTGACAGAAACTGAACAGACAACAAAATGAGTAGAAAATTTTTATAGTCTTATTGCTATGTTCCTAAGATACCCCAAAATGAGCGTGGGTAGGTATTGGGCCCATTTTTCCTCAGTCCTGACCTATTAGCAATTGTAATTAAAATCACCTACTATGCCCATCCCTCTTCTGTGGGAACTGCTTCATCCAGAGCCTCTGCCTAGGTGACTTTAGTCCCATCAGGTAGTCCCAGTCAGGTAAAACTGATTGGACTAGAGTGGGCACTTGACTTTGGGAGCCAATCCATAGGCTGGCTTTCCACCTCTGACCACAAAAGATACATCGAGACATCATATTTCTTGAAGATTTGAAGAAAGAATTTGCTAGAGGGCCTTGTGCAAAACCATGCAGGGCTACAAACTTTGAGAAAGCTTGTAGGTAGTAGAACAGTGTTACCTGACAGGACAGTTGGAATGAGTATGTAGATTTGATACCTGGAAACTGAACAGCCATTCAGCTCCAGCATCCCAAGGCCAGGTTCTATTGTAATTCCAGTTCTTTTCTTTTTCAATCCAAGCCCTTACAGTAAACTTCCTTTCCTTGTGCTAGCTAATGCCAGTTAGTCTATACTCCTTATATCCACAAAAGCTGAACTAAAAC